TCGGCGATGAGGGGCCGGGCGCTTGGGAGCTCGGTCTGTGGCGGGGAAGGCTTCTGCTGTACCTGGCCATGCGGGGCTACGTGACCAAATGCTGGACCATTGACCCGAATCCAAAGCAGATGGGTCTCTTTTAAGCCGGGCTTGCTAAAGTGAGCATGAACTCAGGCTTTTCACAACTCCTGCAACCGAACTAGCCTGACGCGGGCAAATGCTGAGCGCGAGTGAGGTCTGTCAGAACCCCCACTCCAAAGGGACAGGTTCCTTGGGGAAGCGCCTGCGAACGTTGAACGGGGACGCGGGGAAAGGGTAGATGCTCTGTGTGGAGCAAGTCCCCCTGTGTGGATTCCTTTGCCCCTCGGGGTGGTTGTAATGTGAGCCACAATCAAAACCAGGGTGAATGAAGGTCAGTAAGGGATAATCCCAACCATAAATAGCTGCGGCCGCCTTCTTAATTCTTTACATGGTTTTGGGTCGACCATTTTAACATCGGGTTTTGATTGTGACTCATGTTGACCTCGGATGCGCCAACCGGTGCTGGCCCCCGAACTCCAGACTCCCGCGTCAAAATGGCACGCCACCTATGAGCCAACCAGGGTTGTATGAGTCCTCCCCAAGCACAGAGCTTCCTTTTGCAGAGGATCAGGTTGACCAATCTGAGAGAGGGAGAGATGTCAAACTACATGCTTCACTTTGCACCCTTGTTGCATGTATGTTCACTACCGCAGGCCTTGAGCTTACTACTCTGCATGAGTCAAAAGGTTGGCAGCTGCAGACTACATTGGTTGACTGTTTGTTTGAACACTACAGCACTTGCACTTGTAAGCAAAGTAACAACCAATTTTAACGTGGTAGCGGAGCTGAGATCCTAAACATAGGGGAGCTCCAGTAAGCAGTAAGTACTACAACAACAGCAACAGCAGCACATGCCAAACTACTACGACATGTCAGGAGAAGCAGCATCAGCCTCAGCACAACAAACTACAGGAGCAGAGAACGGGCCAACAGCAGACACAGTAGGAGCCACGACTACGGGAGCAGGAACAGAACAAGACAACGACGTTCAGAGACTACATAGATACAAACTGCCACCACCCTTCTTCACTGGTGACTACTCCCAGTATGAAGAATGGCTGTTCAAGCTACAAGCATACCTCGGCCTCATAGACCGAGACTTCGACCTGGTGCTACAACTAGCACAAGTGGCTACACGACAGATTGAGGACACAGACATCAGAACACACATACTTGACCCTACACAAGCAAGCAAAGCAGTAGACCTCTCCAGAGATCTACACTACATCCTCATCAACATCTGTCAGGGAGCAGCAGCTACAGTAGTAAGGCAAAACCGCTACAACGCAAACGGATGTGAAACACTACGACTACTGCACAACAGGTTCAGCCTACCAGTAGGAACAAGGAGCCTTGGTTACCTTACCAAACTACTGGAACCCACATTCAACGAAGCGCAGTTTGAAGAACAATTTCTACAATGGGAATACGACATCAACCGCTACGAGAAAGACAATGGAACAGCACTACCAGATGGAATCAAAACAGCAATACTACTCAACAAAACCAAAGGAGCACTGCAGCAACACCTCCAACTGCGAGCTGGACAGATCACGAACTACATCGAGATCAGAGCACTCATCCTGGACTACTACAAAACGATTTCAGCCTTCACTAGATCTACTTCAGCAGTAGGAACAAACTACAATGGAGGAACTGCACCAATGGATGTTGACAACATATGGAGGAAAGGAAGAAGCTACAAAGGCAAAGGAAAAGGAAAAGGCGGCTACAAAGGAAGCAAGAGCAAAGGCAAGTACAGGAGTAAAGGACACTACAAAGGATTCGACAAAGGCAGCAAAGGAAACTACAACAAAGGAGGATACAACAAGAGCAAAGGAAAAGGCTACTCAGGATCCAAAGGATATGGATCAAGCAAAGGCTACAAAGGCCAAGGAACTACAGCAAATCAAAAGGAAAAGGAAGCAACAACTACACAACATGCCATCGATGTGGCAAGCCCGGCCACTGGGCACAAGACTGCAGAGTGCCGGTATGGCACATAGGAGAAGGAGAAGAACTACATCCACTAGAACAAGAACAAGCAGATCACGACAACAATGATGAACTACCTCAGGATGTGAACGACACTTGGGACTGGTACTACGAAGGAGAAGAAGGACAACATGAGGTGAACTACATGGAGGAGAACTGGAACGACTACGACTATGACAACAGCTGGGATTGGAATGACAACAGCTATGAGGACACAGCGAACTACATTGGAGGCATCAACGAGTCACACCTCACCATTGGACACATCAGACAAGCAAATCACGACTACACAAGCACAAATCCAAATCACTACTTGGCAAGAGAACAACACACACAACATCATGGAACGACCACAGCAAGAGCTTTCAACAATTCCTACAAGAAGACACCACACAGCTACACTTCGACATAGCAGCAGCAAGACAACAACAAAGGAACAAGAAGATTGAGGACACTATCACACACTACATCATGTACTCCAACTTCAAGTCATACCACCACCTGTTGATCGACTCAGGAGCATCTACACATGTTTGCCCGAAGGACTACGCACCAGACCTACCGCTACGACCTTGTGGAGAATCAGTACCGGTTACAAACAAGAAGATACCTGTCTACGGCATCAAGTACGTTCCCTACAAGCAGGACAACTTCAGGATCATGATACCCTACTACGTTTGTGATGTGAAGTATCCAATCCTCAGTGCATCAAGACTACTTGATAGAGGATATGGACTTGACTTCACTCCACGACACTGCACCATCACACATGGACAACAACAAGCACACCTCATAAGACACTCAGGACTTTTCTACCTACGAGCAGAGAAGATCGACATCCCTACAGGATTCGACATCTTCCCAATGACTACAGACAATGGAAAATCCATTGCTGTGATTCAACCTACAGAGAGAGCAGCACAACAACAAGAACAAATCGCACCACTCACACACACAGACCAAGGACTACGACAGATCCTTGGTGGAAACACTGACTACTGGAAACTTGATGGTGACTACGCCATCAGAGTACACAAACGACCACGCAAAGCACTGTTCACACCACACAACAGTGGCTGCCCAATACCAGAAGGAGAACTAGATGATTGGCGACTAACCATCATCAACAGACAAGGGCAAGAGCAAGAACAACTACAAGAGAACCCAACACAACTTTCCAAGCAAGAACTACAACGAAGACTAGAAGGTGACAACTGGACTGGAGAAACCAGATTCAGAAGAAAGATAACACCTACACGCAGAGCAACATCAAAGACCACACCAACAAGGCAGAGCTCACAACCACAACGGCTAATGGACACACCACCAACCAGATCAAAGATCCAACTACGAGCACCACAAAAGATATGGAGACCCAAAGCAGCACCTTCAACAAATACCGACACCACACAACCAAAGGAGACAATACACAGACCACTCACAGCACAGGAGGACAACCAAGACTACTGGGAAAGACAAGGTGAACATTGGATACGACACCACACAACGCTTAGAACAACTCTCTTCACTCCAACAGATGGACCAGGACATCCACCAATCAACACACTTGAACCTTACAGAACTACAATCACTCACAACAACTTTGGAGAAGTTTCACAACGCAAAGATGACTGGACAGTCATGGGCAACGCAGCACTACCATTTCAATGGAAAGGAACAACAAGGTTCACCGTGAAGAAAGACTACGAGTACATCCAGGAGACCACGATGAAGAACAACAACACGAGCATCATGAAGCACACAGAGCAAGAGGACTACGACAACCACAGCAGCCCACTCCACAACAAATAGCAGAACACAACCTTACACATCTACCATACAGAAACTGGTGTCCAATTTGCGTTCAAGGCAAAGGACGCCAAGACAACTACAAGAAACAACAATCACGACAACCTGTCATTCAAGTAGACTTTGCCTACATCAAGTCACAACAAGACCCAAAGACCACACCGGTACTGACAGCAGTTGATGTTACTACACAACTGTGTATGGCAGTATTGGTTCCAGACAAAGCATCAATGATGGACTACATGGTCAACAACCTACAAGCATTCATCTTTGAGTGCGGAAGAACACAAGGCATACTACAAAGCGACAACGAAGACACACTCAACGCACTTCTAAAAGCTACAGCAGCAAAAGTCGGCACAATGAGTGTACGACATTCACCTTCCTACAGCAGCAACAGTCAAGGAAGCGTTGAGCGACTACATAGAACACTTCTCGGACAAATCCGCGTCGTCAAAGCTCAAGTTGAAAGCAACTACAGCATGACGATGTCCACAAAGCACTGTCTACTACCTTGGATAGTACGACATGCAGCATGGACGGTAAATCGCTACGTCATCCACTCAGACGGCTACACAAGCTTTGAACGCCGCTGGGGAAGAAACTACGAGCGAGCAATCTGCGAATTTGGCGAGACCTTCCACCACAACACAAGAAACTTCCGAAAGCAGACCTACGGATGCAGAAATGCATCTGGCTCGGAAAAGTTTCCGAAACCGGAGAAAACTACGTCGCAACGGAATCAGGCGTACAAAAGGTACGAACAGTACGGAGACTACAGCCGGACTTCAAATACGACCTCGCACTGTTGAACAAAGTCTCCGGCACACCATGGGCACCACGACGGAACACCTACAACCCATCGTTCGCAACACTGTTGGACACGCAACTACAACCGTCAGAGAAAAGAAGGTCCACGCAAGACTTCGGACAACAAACGAATGCGACGGACGACATCGTTGCAGAACCCGCAACAAAACAACAACGCACTACACCACCTCCACGACTTCCGTCCACATCGACGTCAAGTTCACGACCACTACCGGATAGTCCTATGGCTACTTCACCAACTGGACGACAACATCCACCACTACCAGCACCACCTCGACAAACACTACGACGTTTAACTCCGGAAGAAGTAATGCAACCAACTAAAGCACAGAAGACCTCAAAGGACACTACAATCAGATCAACGGAACAAGCAACCAAAGAACCACCACCACTACGACAGAAAATCAACGCAGTGACACTTCCCAACGGAAAATCCATCACTCCCTACACAAACGACGACACCTCAGAAGACCAACCCATAATCTTCGACAACGAAGGTTACGACGAAACACAACTACTGGAAGGAATGAAACACGAGTCAAACCAAATGAAACTACACGACGTCTACGACGAAGTAGATGCGTCTACCGTCGACGACAACGTCATCAGAGAAGCGATACCTACAAGATGGGTACACAGAAAGAAAGGACCAGGAGTACGAAGCCGGATCGTCGCAAAAGGCTACACCGAGAAGATCGAGGACGAAGACTCCGTCTACGCCTCTACACCAATGTTCACGACACTCCGGACACTTCTCGCACTACAAGTGTCACGACCAAACTGGATCGCGCGACTAGGTGACGTCTCTACAGCATTTCTACACGCACCCATCGCAAAAGACCACGACGGTAAACAACGTGACGTCTACCTTTGGCCACCTAAAGAACTTTGTCCACAACAGGACAAAATCTGGCGACTAAAGAAAGCCATGTATGGACTACGCAGTTCACCGAAAGCATGGCAGGACTACCTGGCTGAAGTTCTACAAAAGCTCAGCTTTGTAAGACTAAAGTCAGAACCCAACGTCTACACCAATGCGACTCGCGACTGCTACATCATGGTCTACGTGGACGATCTACTAGTACTTGGAGACAAGACCGCAGTCGACTCCACTTTCGAGGCCGTCCAGAAGCAGGTACTACTCAAGCACATCGGCTACCTCGAACCTGGCAAACCACAACAATTTCTTGGAAGAAACATCGACCACTTCGGCAACTACTGCAATCTCGGACTAAAGGACTCCTACATCGACAACATGATCGAGGAGTCTGGAATGAACAACTGCAACTCAGTGAACACTCCAGGAATTGCACACTACAAACCAACAATAGAAGATGAAGCACTACTTGACCACGAACAACACAAAAGGTACAGAAGAATTGTTGGCAAACTTCAATGGTTAGCATACACACGACCAGACATTGCATACTCCACAAAAGAACTAGCACGAGACCTCACAGCACCTACAGAACTTTCACAAAAGAGAGTCAAACATCTACTACGCTACTTGCACGGCACCAAGCACTACAAATTCACCATAGAACCAACAACAACACTCAGAGCAAACACCAACAACATCCTGGATCTCGACGTTCATGTCGATGCCGACTGGGCAGGATGCCCTACTACCAGGAAATCAACTTCAGGTTTCAACATCATCTTTCTAGGAACAACAGTTGCATTTGGCAGCAGAACACAAGCTACAATAGCACTTAGCTCAGCAGAGTCTGAACTCTACGCCATTTGCACAGGAGTTAATGAGGGACTACACCTCAGAAACTTCCTACTTGAAACCAACATTTGCAGCAAGCTAAACCTACGCATCCACACAGACTCACAGCAGGCAAGAGCATTGCTACACGACAAGGCACTAGCAAACGAGCAAAACACATCGACCTCAAATTCCTCTACACACAAGACCTCATCAAGCACGACATCATCAGAATCCTTAAGATCAACACACTCCACAACAGCGCAGATTTGTTTACCAAATACATCAGCAAAGAAACACTACACAGGCTCATCCAGAGCATTGGAATACGCATCTAGCACTACGAACGACCAGCACAGCAGTTTCACAACAACAACAACGACTTTGGACATTTCATGTATGTAAGTAGCTACATGTAACACGACACTTTTGGTATGTAAGTAACAGTAACTACATGTACTTTCACTTGCACTTTTGGCGGCTTGAGTCAACACTACAGTTGTTTGTTTTACATGTCTGCATTCGCCGACTGCCTGGTAGCAACTACTTAGGCTCATTTGTTTTGCCCCGTTTCACTACATTTTGCATTCCACTGCAGCCATGGCCGCTCCATCTACTGCAGATGCTACGATGGGAGATGCGCCTACACCCGACAGGGCGTCTACACCAGAGGTGGCGGTCACTACAGACTCCAGTGACCATGGAACTCCACCACCTCAAACCTACAACGACTCCAACTACCACTTCAACCATTCTACACCCGGCAACACCGTCTACTACAACCCGACCACAGTGATGGACCAACTACACATCACTGAGCACCAGACAACCACTGCACCACCACTGGCCGACAACATTCCCTACACTCAATTTTTCACTGCATTTACACTTGAAGAGTATCAACTACTCTCACAACAACAAGCTACTCCACTGGCACAACTGGACTACACACGACCCATTCACTGCATCCCTGGAGATCTTCGGATGCCACACTACAATTCCACACTGCTCAGCATTTCACTACCTGAAGCAGCCAACGTCCACTACTACCACACAACTTCACTCCACACTACAACTGGCGACAACACCAACTACGTCATCATCCAACTCCAGATTGAACAACCACTACTCCTGAGGTACCTCACTTCAGGACAATTTCTACACTTCACAAGGGACTACATCTCCTACATGATGTCGGTACAACACAACTACTACCTCCCGACTACAACACTGCCACAGACCATCTTCAAGGTGAACTACAACATGACCACCTTCACTGACAACTACAGCCTCAGGAACAACTACGTTTGGAATTACCACATGCCACTACTTCTACCTGAACTACTCCACTACCTCTACAACAGAGACCAACTCCACGACTACCAACACAAAGCAATCACTACAATCGTCTGCAAAAGCATCCAATACTACGGATTCACACTACTCACAATGACCAACCTCACACAACACCACAAAGCACTACTACACCGCTTTCTACGGGACTACGAACAACACATGTCGTGTCCCGAGATTGACGATGAGCGACTACGGGGAGCTCCAAACTACATGACAAACTTTTTCACCACCAACTACTACGCGACCTTGGACAGTCGACTACAGAAGGTCCAAGACTACCGCACCCAGAACTGGGTACTACACTTTTGAGCTCCTGCTCTACTACAACGAGTGCCTGCCTTCACTACTTCCGTCCAGCGCCCTACATCGAGCTGGAACCTGAACAGCGTGAACTACTGAGCGCAGGTCACTACTTTTGCCAATACAGTAGAATTGATGAACAACAATGGTTTTCATCACTACTGTCAATCCATGTTTTGCACTTCAGTTGAAAAGGTACTACAAAGACCTTTTAACTGAGGGGCCGTGTCAAACTACATGCTTCACTTTGCACCCTTGTTGCATGTATGTTCACTACCGCAGGCCTTGAGCTTACTACTCCGCATGAGTCAAAAGGTTGGCAGCTGCAGACTAACTACATTGGTTGACTGTTTGTTTGAACACTACAGCACTTGCACTTGTAAGCAAAGTAACAACCAATTTTAACGAGAGAGAGAGAGAGAGGGAGAGAGAGAGAGAGAGGGAGATTGATGCAAGGGGCGGCCCTAGAAAACCCTGGGTTCCAGGGGATAGTGCGCACATGGCCGAGGGATCCCGAGCCGGAAGGGATCCACAAAGGGAGGTAGAAGCTGCAGCAGCCAAGCTGCCAACATCGGCACTTCGTCCAATCTTCGAGCGAGCGAACCCCGATTCCTATTGGCCAGGTTAGGTGGTACTAGCTGGCTCAGCAAAGGCGCTATTGGCAGGCGTCAGGCAGTTGTTGCCAAAGTTTGGGCCGAATGCACATTCTCAGGCTCGAGCACCGTTTACCAGTGATCCAAGACTCTGAATCACACAAATGTCTGAGAATGTAACAGAGAATGTTGCAGCTGGAGCTTGTTGTACCTGCCGGCTCAAGTCGCTTCGATTTGTCCATCAAATCACCCCCCCCCCTATTTGCACATCCTGCAAGACATGCTAGCTGAAAATAACTCCCTCATGATTAAAACACCCCATTCTAAGCATCCTGCAAGGAAACATGCTAGCTGCATTTTTTCATGGTTCTTCCGATTCTTCCGCGCTCCGCTCCGCTTTGACCAGGCCACACGTCCATGCCCTACGCCCATTCATGGTTGTTGTTGGGGACCATGTTTTCTTCCATTTTTGTTTATGGTGGTTTGGTTGTTGAAATATCCAATCACATAAAATATCCAATCACTTAACTGCACTGCTAAATTTTTTAATAAAGTCAAAAAACAATGAAACCCATGCTCTTCCAACGTTTTGCTCCCCTTCCAACGCTCCATGCTCCCTGCCATCCACTCCACGGGCGTTTCTCGCTGGCTGGGGTGCGATCGCCCGCCATGGCGGCGCGGCTGGGACTCCTGGCGCTGGGCCTGGCGCTGGGCTACGGCCTAGCACGGGTCAGCGCGAAGAGAAGGCCGCGGAAGGCGGGGGTGGGGGTGTGGGGGGATGGGGGGGGGATGGGGGGGGGCGGCGGGATGGGGGATGGAGGGGGGGTGTGGGGGATGGAGGGGATGGGGGGGCATGGGGGGTGGGGGGATGGGGGATGGGGGGAAGGGGTTGGGGGGCGGCTTTTATTTTGCTGGCAGTTCAAGCTAAGGGGTCTCAGGCCAGATAGGCTCCGGGGCGGCCCTGAGGTGAGGTTCCACGAGGGTTCCACCAGGGTTCCACCAAAGTTCCACCAGGGTTCCACCAGGTTCTGCAAGGGCTGCGGGGTGGTCCGGGGCGGGTTCCACCAGAGTCCCACCAAGGTTCCACCAGGGTTCCACCAGGTTCTGCAAGGGCTGCGGGGTCGTCCGGGGCGGGTTCCACCGGTTCCACCAGGGTTCCACCAAGGTTTTACCAGGGTTTCACGAGGTTCTGCAAGGGCTGCGGGGTGGTGCAGGGCGGGTTTTATCAGGGTTCCACTAAGGTTCCACAGGGTTCCACCAGCGTTCCACCAGAGGGTCCACGATTTCCACCAGGGTTCCACCAGGTTCTGCAAGGGCGGGGTGGTCTGGGGTGGTTTCACAAGGGTTCCGCCAGGGTTCCACTAGGGTTCCAGGCTGCGGGGTGGTTTGAGGTAAGATTCCACGAGGGTCCACCAGGGCTGCAGGGTGGTCCGGGGTGGTTTGAGGTAAGGTTCCACCAGGGTCCCAGCAATTTCTTCGAGGGCTGGGGTGTTCTGCTGAAAAGCCATCGGATCAAGATCGCTTTGCTCATGGGCGGAACACTAAGCAAAACCGAAATCAATGGTTTTTAGCACACTTTCACTGTTTTGTGACTTGCTCACTTGCTCAGGCAAATGTTGGCTTTGTGGCAAATCAGATCACGTCGCTGCGGAACTCACGGTGCAGCAGAGTAAATGCTTGGCATTGCTGCTGGCTTTGGGCTCCAAGAATTCCACGAGGCTGCGAGGGCTATGAGGTCAGAAGGTTTCCACCAAATTCTGCAAAAGCTATGGGGCAGCCCTGAGGAAAGGTTCCAGCAAAGTTTCACGCTGAGCTCCACGAAAGTTGCGTGAGAACGGTTTGCGAGGTTCAGCGGGCCTAGGTCGGGGCCCGCCCGATTGCACCGTTTGGGCCCGATCGGCCCCGATTGCGCCATCGCGCCCCGTCGGGCCCCGTCAATTGTACCAAGCTGGCATCGCCTAGTTTTGCTATAGATACAGTTGCAATCCGCATACTAAGGAAAACCGGCGTTGAGCTATAATATGGGTGGCTGGGGTTGCACCACGGGACGATTCGGCCCCGATCGGGCCCCGATTGCACCGTCGGGCCCCGATTGCACCGTCGGGCGCCGATCGGGCCCCGATTGCGACGTCGGGCCCAAGCAACCGAGCTACTACAAGGTGTTGGATCACCCCCTATCAAAAAGACAAAGCACAGGAAGTAGCAGGCAAACCCGGCTGATGCGACACCGCTTTACAGCACAGGCCTTTTCTTGAGGATCGATCGTTGTATTGCCTCATGTTCCCGGTAAAAGGGGGTTCTTTCCCCTTACCTGCTTGTCGACGCATTATCGTGCAGCCTTTTCAAGATGGTTGTCTTCTCAAAGCCCTCTCTTCCACTTCCACTGGCCACTGCATCCTGCAAGTTACAGGGGCGGCGGGTGGCGCTGGTGGACAATGGCTCTTTGAAGCCAGAGGTGGGGGGGAGGGTTTGCGGGGTGGTTGGGGGGCTGGCGCGGCTCCTGGGAGGCTGGGAGCCTTTGACTTCGAGTTCGATGCTGCATGGTGGTCTCTTTGGGCCCGTTTTGTTTTCATTTGCTAAAGAATATTTTATCACTACTGGACATATGTTTATTCTTTCCAGGGGGCTTAAGCAAATGGAAGTTTGGAGTCTCGGATCATGCCTGCTGTGGACAAAGCGGCTCGGGAATTGAAGGGGTCACGAGCCGATCGGAAGGAGGTGCAACATGTTGGCTTTATCGGGGGGGGGGGTTGCCCGGAGCGGAAGACCAGGCCTTTGCGGTTCGCGCCGCCATGCCAGAGGCATTGCCACTAGACAAGTTTTCGTTACTGCACATATTTTTTCTCAGCATGTGTAGGCAGCCATGCCCGCTACATCTGCCATTATGGCGTGTTTTGTGGAGTTGCAAACATGTATTTACATGCAATCTCCTTTCGCGCCAGACCTGGACGACCACATTGATCGGTTTGTTGCAAGCACTTGCTTGATCGAAGATCGTGGTTTCACTTGGGCCGCGCTGAGCAGCATCACTGTTTTGTGCGTCAGCACGCCCCCCCCCCCTTGCCCCACCCTTACGCCAGGACGTATGCTGCAGCAGGATGTTTGCCAGATTCCCCCCCCCCCCCACCCCACCACCCCTCAATACGACAGGTGATTGCCAGGAAGGATGTGTGTGAGCACCCGGGAAAACCCGCTGGATAGACCAAACCTGTTGCCATGTTTTCGTTTTGAGAGCCTCGCTTAGAGTTGGGGTGTACCTTCCCTCTTTTTCAATTGGCCGATCTCAGCGCATGAGGAGCCGGGGAATCCGCTACGGAAGGGCGAAGGTCATATTTTCACCACCTCCCTGCAAACAGCTTCGGGTTCTTTCTGCGCCATGCACCTAGGTTTGTTGCGCAATAAAAGAACCCAAAATCGGTGGCTTCCTTTTGATTTCCTTTTGAACCCTCTCAAAAGGGTACCCTTGAAACAAGACACGCTCGTCTATCGCCAGCGAACCTTGGTCTGAGTTGGCTCGCTGTGCGCTGCTGAAAGTCACCCGGACAAAAGGCCTAATAAATGTTCCGACTTCCAACTAAGATGGGGCAGTGGTGGGTCAGAGAACCCGCCAGCCCCAACCCAAGGACTCGAAAATCACCGCCCCCCCAACCCCCTCGCCCCCCCCCGCAACCCCCCTCACCCCCCCCAACCCCCTATTTAACTCATTGTATCTTATCTAGACTGTCCATCTGATCTATTTCATCAATATCATACGTCTTATCGACCTTGTCTATCATATCATATCTATACTATTTACCTTATCTATCTTACCTACCTTATCTTATCTGATCATAGATTATCTTGTCTTATGCTATCTTAGCCGACTTTATTTCCTATCGTATCCTAGCTTGTCCTGTATCTGCTCCTATCAATCCCATTTTGGCGTATCTTACCGTGTCTTCTCCTGTCTTGGCCTATCTATCCTATGTATCGATCGATCTATTTGTCTATATATCTAACTATCTCTCTGTCTTATCCTGTCTTATCCTACCCTCATCCTGTCTTATCCCATCTAATCCTATCTTCCTATAGTATCCTACCTTTTCCTATAGTATTCTATCTTATCCTAGCCTTACTATCTTATCCCGTCCTATTCCCCCCCCCCCCCCCCCCCCCCACCACCTTGTCCCCGGATCCCGCGGCCCCGCGGCTCGGGCGGGTCGAGCCCGCGGCCCGCGGCCAGCGCCAGGCCACCAAGTCCCTGCGGCGCCTGGCAGCGGCTCTGGCGGCCAAGGCGGGGCTCAAGGTGGAGGCGGTGTCCGCGAAGTTCGCGGCGCCTCGGAGCGTGAGACCCGGATTTGTTGTCACCGGATCCCCCCCACCAGGTGCCAGGAAATCGCCTGGGAGGGCCGGAGTTCCCCGTTCTTGGCGCGACTTCAGCGCAGATTCGGCTTTTTCTTGGGTCTGTTTTCTTTTTTCTTCTTTTGTTTTCTTCTCTTTTTTTCTTCTTCTTTTTTCTGGTCTTCCTGGATGGCCTTCTTTTGGCGCGGCTTTGTGGGTACTCAGATCCAAGTGAGTGAGCTTGTGCTGAAGACGGGGCAACGCGATCGAGCGGTTCCTGCTTTTTTGGTAGGGGAAATCAGGGGACCCCCGTCCGTTTAGAGGGTCTCTGAAGAAAGTTCCTTCCTGGCAATTTCGGTGGGACCAGTGTTGCACATTCCAGGGTTTTGTGAATGGACGTATGGTTCACTTGCAAGGTTTAGGCTGCACTGAAGCCTGCGGCCACCCGCTGCTTGACTGAGGACCGCATTGCAGCGGAGAAGCTGGATGGGCAGCCGGGTGAGGTGCCAGCAGTTGCCCCTACAGCGACGGAATAGTTGAACAACTGTTGCATGGCGAGCTCACCTGGGAATAAGGTCAACATTGTCAACATGATGAACCGATGAAGGCCCTTTTCTTGGCGATCCCTGACTGGTGAAAATGCTTGTGAAACAAATGCCGGTGCATGGAAACGCGTTTTTGCTTAGATGATCCGGGGAGTAGCTAAACGGTGAGTAAACCTTGGTCGCAAGGGATTGCCAAGCGTTCGCTGCGGGGGTAAGTGGTCCACTCAGACAACTCCCAGATCATCTAAGCAATCGAGGGTGTGCGTGTGTTCTTTTAAGACCACCTCAAGTCAGAAAGTGTTTGCTCTTCGTTGTAAGCGTGCCTCCGGGTTGATTTCCGCTCCTTCGCAAGTAGGGAATGGGGGAAGTCCCATATTTTAGCTATGGTTTGTGGATGCTTGCGGCCGGGCGAGTCCAAAGTATGGACCGGAGCTCAAACTTGTTCCAATTCGGCCAAAAGCTCCAGGTGCTGGCGGGATGGCTGCAGCGGGTGAAGAAGGAAGATCCGGATGCACAGGCGGCACAGTTTCGGAGGGAGCTCGAAAGTACCGCCATGCCCCAGCCAGATGTGCTTGAAGAGCCAAAATGTCAGTATGGAATTGGGCACCGGCAGTTGACCTAGCTGGGAATGGACTCCCGAGATTCAAACCCCTGGTGGACGAATAGGCGGGCGTCCCATCTTACGCCTCAAGCCCGTGCAGAACCTTTCTTGCCGGGAACCCCCTCGAGCCCCTGCTTCACCCAGAACCCCTCCCCCCAAAATCACCCGCCATTTAGAGGTGTGCATTTTGCTGGTTCTCAGATTTCAATCAGCCGCTTTTTTTCTCTCCGTTTTTTTTTTGGGGGGGTAACGGACCCGAACGGGATTCCCCTCAAAGGAAGCCACTAGTTGGGTGCTTCACTTTGGGGTCATTCCAACTCCCCTCTCTATCGCCTGGCTGCTTCTGGGGGACGAGAGAGATTGACTAGGGGTCCACAACTTCGCCCAACTGTTTGTTTGGGCTGTCCTAATATGTTGTTGGTGCCCCGGAATATCAGCGGGCACCTTTTTCGGTGCCTTGCTGAGTCAAGACCTTCTGCACGCAACGGCGAGAGAGAACCAGCCCAACCGAGACGGCGAAGACGGGAGGTGTTTCCACGCCAACCGCTCGCGACCAGTCCGTTTCACAGGGCTTGAAAGAAATTCATTTTGCAACCGTTTGAAGCATGTTGCCTTTTCCAGCAAGATACAGTTGGAAACCAGCATCTACAAGTTGCAATGTTCAGGTGTTGTCATGTGAGGATCCCTGTTTGAGATGGTTTTCCAGTCGAACCGAAGCCAACCGCTCGCGACCCGTTTGAGGTGCAGCTGCTGCCGCTGCTCATCGGCCCCAGCGACACCTTGACCAAGGCCATGCCCGAGGCCGCCCAGGCCGCGGACGTGGAGGTGCGGATGGATCGCGCGGATTTCGATTGCCGGATGGCGCGT